GGACGGGGCGTGTAAGGTGAGTGCTTGTTCTAGGACTGGACGGAACATGGTGTTAGCAACGATGCATTCCAGTACGCGCATAGCGAAACTCTTACACACATAGCGAAACACACGCACTAAGCGAAACTCGCGCATAACGAAACATGCACATGGCAAATCTCACACATAGCCAAACACACGCACTCAGCGAAACACTCACATAGCGAAACACGCACATAGCGAAACACGCACATTATGAACAGATGTTCTGGTCCCAATTTTTTTTTTAAAAACGGGAATATGTCTGTATATTCTTCGTTTTTTAATTACCCACATCCATAGCGAACTTCGTACATAGCGAATAGATTTCCGCAGTCTGGTGATGTAGCTGACTAGTATTTCTTCTAGTAAGGTTTTATGGCGCTCGGAAATGCATACGGTCACATGAGCGCCAAGCGGTGGATGTCAACAGAGAAGTCCTTACAGGAAATTAAACTCACTCTGCTCACCTCTCTAGCTTCAACAGCACAATGTCTGCTTCGACTATCAAGGCACCCGGGAAATAGTGGGTTCCAAGAGTGTGACAAACATACAAAAGAAGTAGAGGAAAATGACGATAGTAAGGATTAGGAAAGAAAAAGCAGCAGTTCCCTGTTGTAGATCAGGCACAGTTATGAGCATGACATTGATAGATCCGCCTATTTACAATTACAATTCTACTGCACATAAGAACATGTTAATGTCCCCCCTTTGGGAATGGCCTAAGGACACTTCAGTCAGTAGCTCCGCCCCTATTCCCTGTAGATCTACTGGGCTTGCATCGTGATATTATTCTATATCTTTCCACTTTATGGGAATGTCTTCACCAACATATTTCTCGTGCTCACACAAGCGATACCCCAGATTAAGAAATTGCAATGAAGAGAATCGTCCAAATGTTGGGCCAAGTCCCTATCAACAGCTGGCTCACGTATTGATGATTAAGCTTTAAACCCTCACCCCACTCCCTACCCCACCCACCCCCTCCCCCCAATCTTTGTCACAATTTCCTGTATTTAACCCTATCCGTACGCCCTGGGGCCATTTTGTACCCCCGGGGTTGTATTCTTCACATTTTAGAATACTTCTACTACG